CAGAGGAATAATTTGTCCAGTAATATGAAATGCAAGATGGAGTTGGGACTTTTCTGTGACCCTGGTGTATCCCTCAGCAGAACTGTCTGGGAATGGTCAGAGGCAGTCCTGGGGTCCTCCCTTCCCAAATGTCACTGGAAGGTGAATTGTTGGGCTGGTCTCTCCCCATTCCAGCAGTTCCTTCTCTTCATCAGGGCTGTGCAAGCTGGGCCCAGCTGATGCTCTGTCAGGTGAAACTCTCCTGTGTTCCATGAGCAATGATTTTTGGTTCTTTGTGGAGTCCCAAAATGGCTTGGGTTGAAAGGGTCCTTAAAGACCCAGGGGCACCTTCCACTAGTATGGACCAGGCCTTGGACATTCCCAGGGGTGGGACAGTCACAGATTCTCTGGGCAACCTGTGCCAGGGCCACTCCACCCTCGCAGGGAAGAATTTCTTCCGATCTAACCCTGCCCTCCTCCAGCTTAAAGCCACTGTCCTGTCACCCCAGGCCCTTGTCCAAAGTCCCTGTCCAGCTCTCCTGGAGCCCCTTTAGGCACTGGAAGGAGCTCTTAAGGTCTCCCTGGAAACTTCTCCAGGCTGAACATCCCCAGCTCTTCCAGCCTGACTGTATTTTTTGGTCATATTTTTCTGGTTTTTTTTAATGCCAGGGGAATTTTTCTTCTCTGCTGCTGATCTTTCCCCCATACTTGGTGCATCCCCACCATGTTTATTGTGAATGAGTTCCCAGTTCCCACAGTTTTTCACTCATCAGGGCCATGTGGGTTTCAGAGCCACTGCTCACCCTTGGGCTGCAAAAATGGGCTGAAAAGATGGTGGTTTGGAGTAGGTGGCTTGGGGCTGGTGTGCCCTGTTTGCTGGCAGGTGAGAAACATTACATGAGGAGGTTCAGGCTGAAACGGGGATTCCTTTCTTCACCTTGCAAGTGAAGGGTGGGTTTCTTGCTGCAGGACATTACAGGTAAAACTTTTTCCTGGGCTCACAAATCCAAATGAAGGTGTTAGTAAGGACAGAGGGCTGCAGCCCCTGAGGGAGCTCGTGAGTCTCAGAGTGCCAGCGGAGCCCTGTTTGCTGGCATGGCTAGGGCACCTTGTGGGCTTCAAGGCTTTGCTGCCTTTACTGGCTGGTTTGGAGCAAATCAAATCCAGCGTGTGTCTGCAGCACAGGAATCTCCGAGGGGGATCCATCCCTGTGGCTCCCGAGGTGTTCAGCCTCCTGCACAAGCAACTTGGAGCTGTGTTTTTGGGACTTTATGTGTTTTTCCCACATAAAGGGGAACCTTGAGTGAGAACAAGGGCAGGGAGCACCTTTCCCAGGGCAGCTGCAGGGCAGGGGTGAGTTCCAGAGGTTTGCAAGGGGCTCTGGCATCACACGGTGCCATGATCACCCTCAGCGAGGAGCCAGAGAGGTGGCAGGGGCTGGCAGGGATGTGGTGTCAGAGCCTGGCAGCACTGACACGTTGGGGACAGTATTTGCCTTCAGTTATAACTGAAGCCAGAGCCCTGGAGCTGCTCCAGTCCAGGATAACTGGGGCTGGGGTCCTTTTTTGAATTTGCTCCCTGCTGGTGATAGGAGGGTGACAAATGCAATGGAGCAGGGATGCTCTGGGTGTTGTGGGTGGCTGAGCTGGAATGTGCTGGGTGATGCCAAGGATGCCCATCCATGCTGTGCTGCAGGGCTTTCTCTGTCCACTGTCCTTGTGGCCTCTCTCATCCAGTGCTGCCCACAGTCCCCAAAACAGCTGAAAGTTTGTGCAGTTTTCCATATTTGCTTGAGGATGGTAAAGCTGTTGTGGAAAGGGTTGAGCTGAGTTCCTTCAGTTCAGGCTTCCTGCTGGCCAAGAACTTGCTTTTTTTGAGTAAGAAAAAGAATCTGGAGCCAGCACAGGGTATAAAAGCTCCCTTGAGGGCTGCCTCAAAAGATGGCAGCTTCTCCATCCCGCAGTGTTCAGCTACCAGTGCCAAGGCCAATTTCTCCTGTGGTGCGCAGGCATGAGCATCCAGTATTTACCACGTGGGTGAGGAGAGTGTTTCTGCTGGCAGAGCCAGTGTCCTGCTGTCAGTGCCAGTTCCCCCTGTCCCCACCATCACACTGCCTTGTAGCACCAGCTGCTTTCTGTGATTCCACCAGCAGGCTGCAGGCAGCATCCCAGCGGCTGCATGGCTGGAGCAAGGCACCATCCTTGATGGAATGTGTGGGATTTTGCTTTGCTTTCACAAGTCCTCCACAGAGGAGGAGGAGGACCAGGATGTGATGGGTTAGAGCTGCTCCAAGCTGGCCCTGCTCAAAAGAGGGAGGATGCAGGAGGGAGGGACGGAGTGTGCCAATACCAGCCCTGGTTTAATTTTGGTGATTCCAGGCAGATCATCCAGCAGGATTGTGTTTTCTTTGTTCTGTGCCAGAGGACAGCCCCTCTTTGGGAAGGATCTGCAGGTGTTGATGTGATTTGGTTTGCATAACTGGGGGGTGTTTGGAAAGTTCTGCCTGTGTGATTTCAGGTCCACAGGTGGGTACCAAAACGTGAGGAACATCTCTGAAAGGAGTCAGCCATAGCTGTGCCATGGCTACTGAGGGTAGTACAGGACAGCAGGTCCTGGAAAGGATGGGGACATTCCCAGTCTCTTTGGGATGCTCCTCTGGAGCCACCTCCTGCAAGGATTGGGTTTGCTCTGCAGAATACCAGCTTGGGGAAAGGGATTCATTGATCCAAACTTGCCTCCTCCCACCCAACTAAACATGTATCCTGGGGTCAGGAATGCTCAATGCTCCTTTCAGTGCCCAGGAGCTTATCCAAGCACCACTGCCAATGTCATGGACCCAGTCTATTCCAAATTCCATAGAAATTAGGGAAAGAAAGGTGTATTTTTGATGAAACACCACTTTGCTGCCTTGTGTTGAGCTCGTGCAGGTCATCCCCCAGCTCCTCCCCAGCAGTGCACAGCGAGCAGTTTTGCTGGAAGAGCTGAGGGGGATGCCAGGGCTGAGCTGGTGCTGGAGCTTTCCCATTCCTCCACGGCCCAGCTGACCCTGGGGACACTGTGTGGCCTCTCCTGCCTTCTGTGAGCCAATGGGCTGAGCTGCTTGCGGCATGCAGGGGCTGCCCAAATCCCATAGCCTATAATTTCCTACCTCCAGCTCTTCTCTTTTTAGAGTAAAATGGTATTTTGTGCTTCTCTGGCCCCAGGCCTGCCCCATCCAGTCTGGATGGCTTCCTTGAATGTGGTGCCACTGCAGGACCACTGGTGAGTGTGGCCCTTGCATGGTGCTGCCAGCCCCAGTGTGGCACTGAGCACCCTGACACCGATTCCTGAGCTGCTCCAGGGCTTTTCCAACCTGGTATTAATTTTTTATTGAAAGACAGGGCTCACAGATGTCCTGTTGCTGATGCTCTCTGTGGTGATGCTCATATTGGAGCAGCTTTTCTGTTCGAAGGAGCAAAGCACTGGTGTTTGGCTCCTTGCAGAGGAGCCACTGTGGTATCAGGCCCCAGGGAGGCCTCATCCTTCTCCAGTGGGTCACAGCCCTGATGCTGCATCACCCGAACCTGCTTATAGACCCCCACAGCCCAGGTGCTGGAGGGGCTTCACTGCCCTCTCTGTAGGTGGGAAGGGGAAAGCAATGGGCTGGGTGTGGGAGAAGGTGTTTGGTGGGACAGGAGTTGGTCTCCCACTGTCCAGGTCGGGATCAGGCCAGTTCCAGCTGGAGAAACACCAGCACCAGCTTAAGGAGCCTGAGCTTCGGCCAGCCAGAATCAGCCCTGTCTAAAATATTTAAAAATATTTTCAGTGAAATGAAATGTTTAATTAACATGAAATAAATAAATAAAATAAAATAAAATTTTATTAAAATAATTAAATATTAAATAAATCTTTAAAATTAAATAAAGCCCTGCAAACAAGCTTCACTTTTGTTCATTTGACATAATCAAAAAAATGTCATCTGGACTGAGGAAGGGGCCTCTGACATAATTTTGGACACAAAACTGGGTCGATGCTGGAACTCCCAGAAGAAATGGGAATATCTGTCTTCCTCTACTTCTTTTTTCCTTTCATACACAGAGCAGAAAAGTTCTGTGAAACAAGATATTTGTTGCTTGAATGTGCAGGAGCTGTCTGTAACAACCGAGCTGGGCCAGGGTGAGGTTGTGGGGAAATAGGAAATGAAAACCTTTTCAGCCCAAAGAATTCATACAATGGCAAAAAACCAAAGCAAACCAAAGCTAAATATAGTGGGGCCTGTGAGTTCACTTGGACTTCTGGTGAATGTTTGTGGTGGAAAAAAAGTTGGTGTTTTATAACAAAGAACAACAAAAGTGCTGATGTTGATGTGGTGCTTTAGGAGGATTCTTGCTGGGGTGTTGGGATAAGAAGAGACAGTGACAAGACCTGAGGTGGCTTTTTAGCTTAGAAACATTCATTTGAAGGAGTAAAGTGTCTTTTAAACTTGACACATCAGCTGGAGCAGCATGTCCCAGCATCATGTCTGGGATTTACTGGTTTATGCAGGTTTTGGGATAAAGTCACATGGTGGGGGTCAGGGAATTTTCTTGGGGAATCATGGTTGGCCCGTGGCAGCAGGCAGGACTGTGGGATGTCTGTGGAGTTAGGATTGATCTCAGCCTGTCTTCCCTCATCGGCTGCACCTCTGTCTGCTGGCAGCAATTCCCCTCACTTGGCTTCCGCCTCCCAGTGTGTGGGCTGGGATTCCAAAGGGTCCTGACATGACATTTTGTATTTGCTGGGACTGGGGCTGTGCAGGCATTTTCCTTCACAGGATGGGAGACCTTCCCCAGCAGTTCCTGTTTGCTCCATAGTTTTTAGCAGGTCCCCAGACACACGTCACAGCACTGATGGATGCGCTGTTTCCCTGCTCTGTTTTTCTCCGCCTGGAGCAGATGGGTGGTGTGAAGCCATTGGCTTCTCAGCACTGGCAGCATGGCAATGCCTGGGAATGCTGCAGCCAACTGCTGCCCATGGGAGGTCAGTTTTGAGCAGCTCTAGCGATGCAGTTAGAGTGGGTGAGCACTTTGTGCTGGGTCCCATGCCCAGGAGCCACCCCTGGTGATGCCGCAGTAGATACAGACACCCGCCTGTGTCACTCTGCCTGCAGCCCACCAGCGGAAATAGGCACTGGGGCAAACCCTGAGTCAGTGCTGAAGGGAGGTGGTGGTCCCCAGCATCCCAGGTGCTGTGCCCGGGGATGCATGCCAGAACTTGCTTTGCACAGAGCCAGAATATCCTGTCAAGAGTCAGGGCCATGCATGGCACGTACTGAATCTCACCCCTCAATGCTTTCACCCTTTCCATTTGTTCTCTCCCCAGACTCCAAAGTCTTTCTCATCTACAACACGGGCACGCAGGGCTGCCTGGAGACCAAGGACTCGCTGGTGCGACTGGCCAAGGGCTGCAACGCCAGTTCCACAGCCCAGCAGTGGAAATGGGTCTCCCGAAATCGCCTGTTCAATGTGGGGGCCATGCAGTGCCTGGGAGTATCATGGCATGGGACCAATGCCACAGCAGGGCTTCACCTCTTGGCCACCTATGAGTGCGACCGTGAGTCAGTCAACATGCGCTGGAGCTGCCGCGGGCTCGGGGAGCAGCTCTCGCAGCATCTAGGTGCCCGCCTGGGCAATTCCTCCCTGGACAGGGGGGACCAGGTGCATGGCTCACAGTGGAGGACGTACGGCACCGAGGAAGATCTGTGCTCCATGTCCTACTCTGGTAACGCCTCCTTGGGCATTGGTGTTTTCCTGTAACTCAAGCTAACCCCAAAATGTGAGCTGAGGCTGTGGTGCTGCAGCAACTGAGTCCTGCCTGGGAAGCTCAGTCCCAGCTTGTTGGGGCTGCAGAACCAGGCAGGATCAGGGCGATGGGGAGTGGGAAGCCTCCGGGCACCGCATAGCCCCCCACACTGGGCCAACCTGCACCACTCACCCCAAATCTCCCTCCAGCCCCCATAGACACATCCTCAGGCAAGGCCTCCTCTTTTCCCTCAGAGATTTACACCATCCAGGGCAACTCCCATGGGAAGCCCTGCACCATCCCCTTCAAGTACGACAACCAGTGGTTTCACGAGTGCACCAGCACAGGACGGGAGGATGGGCACCTCTGGTGTGCCACCACCCAGGACTATGGCAAGGATGAGCGGTGGGGCTTCTGCCCCATAAAGAGTAAGTAGGGGGACACATCCCATGGAAAAAAGCAAAAATCCCAAATCCCCTCTTAGGGACTTCCAGGCTTCTCGTCTCCCCCTGTGAGCAGTCTGCAGTGCCAGAGCAGCATGTTGCTGGGGTTTATTGGGTTATTGAGGATTTTCTTGTGTCTGTGTTGGGTGCTCACCCCGCTCATCCCCACAGGCAATGACTGTGAGACCTTTTGGGACAAGGACCACCTCACAAACAGCTGCTACCAGTTCAACTTCCAGTCGACCCTGTCATGGCAGGAAGCCTGGAATAGCTGTGAGCAGCAAGGGGCCAACCTGCTGAGCATCACAGAGATCCATGAGCAGACCTACATCAATGGTGAGATTCTGGCAGCCTATCTGGGTACTCCTCATCTGCAGTAGAGCTGATGGTGATGTGGGCATTGCCACTGCCAGTTTGTTCTGCTTGCCCCACGTTTGAGGGGGTGACAAGCTGAGGACTGAGCTGGGCTGGGGGACTGAGTCTGCCCTGCTGGCTGTGTTGGCTCCAGGTCTGTTGACTGGGTACAGCTCCACGCTCTGGATTGGCCTGAATGACCTGGACATCAATGGAGGCTGGCAGTGGTCAGACAACTCACCCCTCAAGTACCTCAACTGGGAGAATGGTGAGACAGGGGAGATTGTGGTGGTGATGGGGCTTGAGGAACACCCAGTGATCACCAGAGGTGGCTCCATGGCAAGGGAGGTGGCCCAGGCTGCTGCAGGGTGTCCCATTGCTGCATGGGGACAGGGAGCCCCAGGGCCTGTGTAACAGCCTGGGATCTCTGTGGGGCTGGAGCAGGGACACAGGGTGCTAAGGAGGAATTGGCCCTCTGCAAACACTCGTTGACCCTGTGGATAACGTGGATTGTCATTCCTTGTTTGGCGAGTTGCTGCATCCCTGCTTAGTGCTGGCGTGTGGCTGAGGAATGGTTCCCAGCTGCAGACACCCATCCCTAACCCTGGGGTACTCAGAGGGAAGAGGGCCCATTGGTCATGCCTGGGGCCATCACCCAAAGGCATTTGGGGGAATATAGTGATACTCTTGGAGGAGGTTTGAGGACAGGTGGGAGAAGTTCAGGTCTGGTATTTTGACCCTTTGACTGCTATTGACATTTCCAGGTAAAACAGTGACCCTTTGGGTTCTTGTTTATTGAGGCACTATAAATAATCCTGGGCACTATAAATAATTCTGGGGTCATGTCTTCGTCATGCAAAATAACAAAATAAAAGGGGTTTTAATGGTGTTGAAGCTGGGAGAGCTGCATTGGTGGCTCTGTCCTGACTCCTCCTTATCCCCAGTAGCCTGTCCCCTCCTTATCCCATTCTCCAGACCAGCCTGACAACCCCAGTGAGGAGAACTGCGGGGTGATTCGCACCGAGTCGTCCGGGGGATGGCAGAACCGTGACTGTGGCATCGCTCTCCCCTACGTCTGCAAGAAGAAGCCCAACGCCACGGCCGACCCCTTCCTGGCGGGTGAGCAGGGGGTGACCAGCACTGGGAATGGGCCAGCTCCATAACCCATCTGGTGCTCCCACCCCTGCATGGTCAGGGGATGCCGCCCATATGGGTGCCCCCGGTATCCTCAGCTTGCTGGTGTCCTAAGTGTGCAGAGCAGGGCTTGAGCTCCCTAGATTTAGGAAAAGTCATCCCCAAGGAACATTTCCAAGAAGTGCTTTATGCCATTCCAGGTTGTGTGGTAAGGGAGGGATGGAGAGCAGCTTGTCCCCGTGGTCCCCAGGGGAGGGGATGCTCTCTGCTCTGTCCTCATTCTTCTGCAGACAGAAGGGATTTTATTTTGTCCCTGGAGCTCTGAAGACACCATTCCCACACCTTGCACTGCCTATTATGTTTTGGCCGTGGCTTTCCCACTGCGGCTTTGGCTTCGCCTGCTGAGCACCCGTAGGACTGTGGTCCTTTCCCTGGCAAGGAGAGGGCTGGATAGCTGGGCAGGAACCCTCAGGCTGCTTTATGTCCTGCCAGACTCGTGGTCAGAGGTGAAGGTGGACTGCGAGCCCAGCTGGCAGCCCTTCCAGTCCAACTGCTACCGGCTGGTAGGAGAGAAGAAGAGCTGGCAGGAGGCGAAGAAGACCTGCCTGCGGAGTGGGGGTGATTTGGTCAGCATCCACACGCTCTCTGAGCTGGAATTTGTCACCAAGGAGATCAAGCAAGGTAAGAGGAGCTTTCTGTGCCAGCAGCCCCTTTCCTGTCCTATGGGGTCCATGGAAAAGTCCCTGGATGTGCTGGAGACTGCAGAGTTGACTTTGTGCTTGTGCAGGGAGCGGAGGTCCCAGGCTGGGAGGTGCTGTGTTCCTTGGAGGAGCCCATAATCTGGGTGCGTCCTCCATCCAGCAAATGTAAAAGCTGTTCCCAGAGCAGGCAGTGCTAAGTCAAAACTATACAGTGGCAGCTGGGAATAGTGCTAGTCCCAGCTAGTTAATGTAGGAAAAGATGGGAAAAAAAGTCCTGCTGGACTTGCTGGAGGAGGCCAACAAGGAGGTATAGGAGAGTGGAGGAAGGAGAGGAAATACTGCTGCCCCCAGGCTGGGAGCAGATTGGGATGTGCTGAAAAGGAATGGTTGAAAACCAGTAGTTCACTGGACCTGAGCTTGCAGTTCTGGACTTGTACTCCCATACTGCTAGCCCCTCTCTGAAAGCTGCAGGCAAATGTCCGTGTGTTTCCCACTCTGGGGGTCCATGTCCTTGTAATTTCCTACTCCAGGGGTCCATCCTTGCAGGCAGGAGCTGCCCTGCCCTGTCCTGCCCTCTCCTGTCCACTGGCACAAGGAGTTCAGAGCTGAGCCCTGAGTGGGTTTTGGCAGGTGCTGCTGCAGAGACCAGTTCCATCATGAGGGCTGAGGTCATGGGGGGCCTGCACAGGGTCAGCCAGGGGGAGCGAACTTCACTCCCTCCCTTCCTGTCCCGGCAGATGTGGAGGAGCTCTGGATTGGCCTAAATGACCTCAAGCTGCAAATGAACTTTGAGTGGTCAGATGGGACACCTGTGAGGTTCACGTACTGGCACCCCTTTGAGCCTAACAACTTCCGTGACAGCCTGGAGGACTGTGTTACCATCTGGGGACCGGTGAGAGCCCGGAGGGGATGGGAGGTTATCCTGCACCTCTGCAGGGAGCACTGCAGCATGCTCATTGCTGAGGAAGGCATTCCTCAGGGAGTGTCTCCAGCTGGGTTCAGCTAGCTCATCTGAGCCATTGGGATGGGAGGAATTTATCTCATCATCGTTGGGGATTTGGTGTAGGGAAGTAAAGTCTTTGGACCCAGTGTAGAGATGAAGGGACGGGGACACTCCCCAGGCTGTCAGATGGGCTCACTGCCACTTTTTTTACCATCCTGCAGGAAGGGAGGTGGAATGACAGCCCCTGTAACCAGACCCTGCCCTCCATCTGCAAAAAGCCTGGTCGGGTGAGCCAGGAGAAGGAAGAGGATGACCACGGGTGCCGAAAGGTGAGGGGCACATGGGGCAGCAGTAGCTCTGGCTGCTCCATGGTTCTGCATGGTGCTTGAGGCTTCAAGAGGACCTTTCCCTAAAACCATTTTGGGGAGCCCCGATGAACCGCACCCAGAGCAGCTGGTGTGTGCCTGAGAGCTGCTGAGCTGGAGCACTCTGGGGCTGCTGAGCCCCTCGCTGCCATGGTAGAGGAGTCCATGGGAAGAAATTGGGACACAAAACACATGTGTCTGGGCACATTGTCCAAGACTCTTCCCCATCAGGCAGCCTTGGCTGCCAGCAGGGATGTTCATTTTATCCCCCCTTCCCTCTCTTTGTGCTAAAACACAGGAGCACGTGGGAACCTGGCAGGATGGAGGTGGCTGCCAGCCCTACGCCTTGACAAGATGGCAGGTTGCCTCCTCCGGGCAGGGCATGGGCATTTTGGGGACACTAAACCAGCAGATTCTCACTCAGCCTGTGCCCTGCCTCGGTTTCCCCAGCCGTCACACAGGGCTGAAGCCGGCCTGTTCCCACGCTTGCTGGGAAGTGGTTTTTGTGGTTCTCTGCAAAGCCTCCAAGCACTGAGTCTGGCAGCAGCGTGGCTCTTGAACCTCTCCCAGCCTTTCCGAGCTGGCCGGCATGCTTGTGCTCTGGCTAGCAAGCAGCCACTCCAGGCCAGCTCCCGGAGGTGCTGCTGGGCTCCTCCCGTGTCCCAGCCCCATTTCAAGCAGCTGCTTGGCTATGCCAGAGCTTGGGGGAGCACAGCAGCCAGGAGAGCTGCCATGCAGAGCCAGATTTGAGGGCAGCCAGACATAGCTGGAAGAGCCTCCGTGTCCACAGGTACTATGGATGAGACACTCAGTTGCAGAGTTCTGCTACCGTGTATCTGTGTGTCCCCAAAGCGGTCCTGAGGACTCCCTGTTGAGATTTAACTCCCTCTTGGCTCTCCAGCCTCAGTCTTAGCTTGGCCTTGGGTGCCCAGCAGAGATGCACTGGGAAACGAACTGTGAGGGATAAATGAACCAATGAACCAATGCAAGGGACAAATGAACCAAGAACCATCCTTCCTCTACTTACTCATTCTCAATGAGGACTTTTGCCACCCAGAGGCAGAAGCTGGTGGAGAGGAGGCACATCTTGCTCAGGCATTCGGTTCTATCCACTCCAGCCACTGCGCTGGTTTTTCATGGTGGCCTTGCTGCTTTTTCCCCCTTTAAAAAATCTCCTTTATTTCAGCAACAGCCTTAAAAAGGAAGCAATGAAGTATAGAGGTTTGGGCAATGGTAAAGGCAGATCAGGAGGGATGTGGGGGCACACTGGAGGTGGAAGCTGGAGGCAGCACTTGGGGTTGGGGATCCTGTCCTGGTCCTCTTTTAGATCACAGGGACTAGTTGTGGTGCTGTATGTGGGAGTGCACCCTTGGGGTATTAGGGGTGCTGAGGCTGGTGCTGGTTGGGGACCCATCTGGGGACCTTGCATTGTCCCAGGACACGCCTCCTTTCTTGGTTGCTCAGTTGCATCTATGCTATTCCGGAGGGACCCAGCTTATGAGTCTGTACCTGGATTTGCCAGCTTGGAGAAAGTCTGTAGGAGCAGGAACTTGGAGGAAAAACTGGGATTTGCAGTTGTTTTCATTTCCCAAAGCTGCTCTCCTCTCCTGCTTCCTTCCTCACTGTGCTGATGACACTGCACTGATGACACATATGGCATGTGCCCTCACTGTCCTTCCAATGCCCAGGGGACTCAGGAGTGGAACCCTAGTGATGCTTCCCCCTTCCAGGGGATCCATGAGCCTGGAGCCACTTGGTTCCTTGGCTGAGCCACTTCACCCTTCTGAAGGGTGTGTGTCCCCTCTTGCAGATGAGTCCCCATGTCCCTCCTGACTCTGCCACCACTGCTGCGACCCCCAGGGCCACCCTGCTCCCTGCTCTGGCAGAAAAGAGACACTATTGTGTCTCCAACCCTGGAGAGACTCCAACATCAACAAGGCAGGGGATTAAAGCTGGCTGTGGTGGTACTGGCTTTGGACTCAGTCCTGCAGTGTAAAGAGGAGGATTGTGTTCCCCTGCCTGCTCCCTGGCCGGGGCTTGACGCTGGCAGGGAGAGCTGTTTCCCCAGCTTTGAAGCTGCCTGGGTGTTTGTTTTCCCTTGTAGCCATGTCCTCTGGGGCCAGGGGCTTGTTGAAGCTCAAAGCTGAGCGGGGTCAAGCTGGGGCAGCTGGGGGCAGGAGACCTCCCAGGAGAAGGCAGAGGCGGTGGTGGGGAACTTGGGATGTTGCTCTTGTGCCCTGGGATTGCTCCCATCCTTCTGGGGAGGTCCAGGTGGGCAGTGGTGGATGTTCCCTGTCACCCGTCCCCAGGGCTGGAAGTGGCACAGCCCATCCTGCTTCTGGCTGGGCGAGGACCGTGTGCCCTACAGTGATGCCCGCAAGACATGCTCTGACTACAGCTCCACGCTGGTTACCATCACCAACAGGTCAGTGCCATGCCAGTGGTGGTGGGTTTGCCCCAAAACAAGCCCTGCAAGGAAGTGACTTCCAAGGGCTGGAGCATCATGGGCAGCTCAGTGTCTCGGTGGACAATCCCACTCTCACTGTCCCTTCAGGTTTGAGCAGGCGTATGTGAGCAGTCTCATCTATGGCTGGGATGGGGAGTATTTTTGGACAGCTCTGCAGGACATCAATGAGACAGGTGCATTCCACTGGCTGAGCGGTGATGAGGTGACGTACACTCACTGGAACCGCAACCAGCCCGGTAAGGGATGGGGGTGGGATGAGGACTCCCCCTTCATGGAGGGCAGGGCTGGCACTGCCCTCCAGAACAGTCCAACTCTAAGGCTGGCATCTCCCCTGCTCTTGTGAGCACTCCAGGTTACAACAAGGGTGGCTGCGTGGCCCTGGCCACCGGCAGCTCCATGGGGCTGTGGGAGGTGAAGAACTGCAGCACCTTCAAGGCCAAGTACATCTGTCGACAGAACTTGGGCACCCCAGTCAATCCTGAACTGCCCAGTCCTTTCCCCACGCCCAGCCTCACTGCCACCTGCCCCCCAGGATGGAGCTCCGACCCCAAACTTCGTCACTGCTACAAGGTGAAGGGGGGTTGGACAGGTTGGTGTGGGGATGCACATGCCTCCCCTGTGCAGGGGAGTGAAGGGGCACATTTTGGTGCTTGCAAGAGGCACTCCACAACCCTGGCTGGGGCTGGATGGCACCACTGTGTCCTGGGACATGGCTGCCTGCAGGTTGGAACAGGGTTCTGCTCCTGTTCTGCTGTTGAGCCTCCCATGCTGTGGGTTTTTGCTTTCGCAGGTATTCAACTTCGAAAAGCTGCAAGAGAAGAAGACGTGGATCGCTGCACAGGAATTCTGCCGGGAGCTGGGAGCCCAGCTGCTCAGCCTAGGCAGCTATGAGGAGGAGCATTTTGTTGCCAACACCCTCAACAAGATTTTTGGGTGAGAGGCTGGGGGCATCAGTGTGTGTCCCAGTGCTGGTGTGTGCTTGCCACAAGCCCACAGCCCTCCTGGTGGTCTAGCACATGTGAGTGGATGGATGGATGGATGGATGGATGGATGGATGGATGGATGGACGGATGGACTGATGGATGGATGGATCTCTCTGAGCACAGACCAGTGTACAGAAAGTGCATCAGTTGGTGTGGCTAATGTGGGAGATGCACAGGAAGTTCAGTGTAATTTGGGGATGGAGCTTGGTTTTAAAGCAGCTCCAGTCCTGAGATGGCATGCCTGTTATCCCAGTTCCTATCTTCAGGTATGTGGGGATGGCGGGCTTTGAAAACAAACAGAAAAAGCCTTGATTATAAATATATATTTGTAGAGAAGTATAAACCCCTCTGGTTTGAAGGAGGTTGTGTACTCACATGTGCCCCTGGGTCCCCACAGGGAGTCAGAACCGGAGCTTCATGAGCAGCACTGGTTCTGGATTGGCCTGAACCGGCGGGACCCTGCTGGGGACCAGAGCTGGAGGTGGAGTGACGGGCTGGGGGTGAGTCCAGGGGGCATTTCAGTTGTGGGAGGGACGAATCTGGTGCTGGTGGAAAGGACCAACACTGCCCATCTCTCTCAACCCCCAGTTCTTCTACCACAACTTCGACCGCAGCAACTATGATGATGATGACATCCGGAGCTGCACAGTGCTGGATCTGGCCTCCCTGCAGTGGATGCCGATGCAGTGTGAAGCCCAGCTGGACTGGATCTGCAAACTGCCCAAAGGTGCTGGCAAAGGGGTCCCCAAAACCATCAGCTGTGACTGACCTGGAGGAGCATGGGCTGTAGGGGGGTGGAATCCTTGGGAGGAGGGAGGGTGATTCCTAATTCAGGGACTGGGAGAGGTACTGTCACTTCTGGGGGAATTCAGGAGGGGCATCCTGCCATTGTAGCCCATGGATGGTTTGCAGAGAAGCATCCATGGGAGCATCCCAGCCTGCACCCCGCTGACACCTTCTCTTGCCCTTTCTCCAGGTGCTGATGTGAAGGAGCCAGAGATCACAACCCAAGGTGTGTTAGCCACAGCCTTTTGACACGGTCACAGAATATTTTGAGTTGGAAAGGACCCACAAGGATCATTGAGTCCAGCTTCTGGCCCTGCACCCTAGCAATCCTACCCTGTGCTTGAGGGTGTTGTCCAAATGCTCCTTGAGCTCTGGCAGCCGTGGAGCCATAGTTACTGTCCTGGGGAGCCTGTTCAGTGCCTGACCACCCACTGAGGGAAGAACCTTTTCCTGATATCCAACCTCAACCTCTCCTGGCTCAACTTCAGGTCATGCATAGACCACCTGATGTCTTCAATGGATGTCTGCTGCAGTGTTATTAAGAGGATGGATCCTGGGCAGGGTTGTGGGAGGGAGGGGAATCCAGGCATCCCGCTGCAGCTCCATTGCAGGAGAGGGACAAAAGCAAAGCAGCCCAGTAGACAGGGATGTGGATGTCCTGTCAGGGTGACCATGGCAGGGGTGTCAGCTTCATTGTAAGGTCTGGTCTGTGCCTGCAGGCAGCAAAGAGTGGGTGAAGTACCAGGAGGCTGAGTACAAGTTCTTTGAACACCACTCAACATGGCTGCAGGCAAAGCGCATCTGCAGCTGGTTCCAGGCTGAGCTGACGTCAGTGCACAGCAAGGCCGAGCTGCAGTTCCTGGGCCAGAACCTGAAGAAGGTACCAAGGGGACAGGAACTTCCCAGGGCACCAGTGGCCATGGGCTCTGCTACCTTGTGGGTGCTCTTCCTTGTCTTCTTTCACCCTTTTCTGGAGGGACCATATTTGGGGGTACTAGGCTTTGCTGGAGTCATGATGGATTTGTGTGGTGGCTGGTCCTGATGCCTGGGGGTGGGTTTGGGTCTTAGCAAAGTGATGTTTTTTGCCTTGCTTTTGCAAGCTGGGGAAGGGTGTCTGATCCCCATGGCAGCCTCAGTTGCCCCCAAAGACTCTCCAGTCCCTGAAGGGCACTGATATGTCCTCTCTGGGCGTGCAGTTCTCCAGGGGCCAGGAGCAGCACTGGTGGATTGGGCTGCACACCTACGAGAACGACGGGAGGTTCAAGTAAGTCACAACCACTGTATCCCTGGACATCCCTACCCTACAGTGCCCATGACATCCCCATACCACTATGTCCCTGCACACCACTGTCCCCACATCTCAGAGTGCTGTGACTCAGCAGCTGCATCTTGGGTCTCATCCTGGGGTGCTGGGCTGGAGATTCCTCACCCAAGAGGGTAGTGGTGGAAAACGCTCCCAGTTAGGGCATTCAAGTGGTCCCATTCACCAAGTCACTGCTCATCCTCCTGATGCTATTCCAGGTGGTCTGATGGGTCCCTCCTCAACTTTGTCTCTTGGGCACCAGGCAAGCCTCGGCCCATCAGCAAGGACAGGAAGTGTGTGTACATGACAGCCAGCCGAGGTGAGGGCAGGGCAGGGCAGGGCAGGGCAGGGCTCCACATGGGGCTCTGAGTGGCTGGGGCACTCGTACCAGTGCAGAGGGGCTTCATGCCCAGCCTGTCCCTTCCCACAGAGGACTGGGGGGACCAGAAGTGCATGACAGCACTTCCTTACATCTGCAAGCGAAGCAACGCGACAGCTGTGAAGCCTTCCCTCTTTCCGGTACCTGCTGCCACAAGTGGGGGCTGTCCCCAAGGCTGGCTGCCCTTCCTCAGCAAGGTACCAGTGGAGGGAAAGGGGACAGCAGGATGGGAAAGGGGATGGCAGGATGGAGAGGTGACAGTTGCTTCCTAGTCTTCCACCAGCCCTGCGGAGCCACAGAGAGAGTGGCTGCAAAATGGCAGGATGGGGATGCCTGCACATGTTTTGTGGGGAGTGCTGGGTGGTGCATTTACAGGGATGCTGGGAGACATGCTATGGGATGGTGAAGGTGAGGTGTGTGCACAGGTTTGCCAGGAGAGATGTGGAAGGGGCAGAGGGGTTGGGGGGTGGCCCGCATGAGGGTGTGAAGGGGAGAAGGACCATTGTGGCAGAATGGGGCTGCAGAGGGTGGCTGAGTGGGGAGGGTGCAGGGCTCAGGACTGGGGTCAGCTGCATCTCCTGGCCCATCCTGTGCCCCTGCGTCTGCAGTGTTTCAGCTTCAATGGCCACAACAAAGGCGAGACAGTGAAGTGGCCTGAGGCGAAGCAGTTGTGTGAGAGCCAGGGTGCCATCCTGGCCACCATTGCCAGCCCCCTGGAGCAGGGTAGGTCTCCTCTGCCCCACCACCCCACCAGGGTTCTATCTGCCAGGGGTGGTCCTCAGCCTCTGACCTGTCATTTGCAGCCTTCATCACTTCCATGCTGCCCAACATCTCCTTGGACCTCTGGATTGGCCTGCACGATGCCCAGGGGGAGTTCCAGTGGGTGGAGGGGGAACCGCTGCGGCACGTGAGCTGGGCACCTGGAGAGCCCTCAGGCTGCAGCTCCTCCAGCCCCAATGACAAGCCGGTGAGGGAGATTCCCCATAGCACCCCCTTCCCTCAGGAAGGTCCCACAGTGCCAGGCCCAGCCTTGGAAAAGGAAAGATTTAGTGGGCTGGGATGGCTCTCCGAGGGCAGTGCAGGATGCAGCCCTGCAGGGTGGGGGTTTCTGGCATAGGAATCTCTGCTGTGTGGGACAACAGTGCTAAGAGCAGTGCTGACCTTGTGGTTTGGCTGTGCAGACCAACTGCGTTGTGGTGTGGCATGGCTCACCCCCCCTCTTCACGGGACGCTGGGATGACCGGAGCTGCCTGGAGGAGAAACACGGCTATGTCTGCCAGCGAAGCATAGGTAGGAGGGGGATGAGGAGACAGCCCCAACTCTCTTGGCTGAGGAGCTGTCACTGCCACCCTGGTGCCCCATGCTGTGATGGGACTGGGGAACCTGGGGCAATGGGTTTAGCTTGAGGAGACGGACTTAACTTAGGTGGGTAGGTCTCTGATCCCAGCCTTTTGTGGGACAGCCCCAAACCTGTGTACACCAACCTGGCTCAGTGTGTCCCCACAGGGATGTGCATCCTGGTGGACAGCTCCTAGGTGGGGATGTTGCTAGGATGTCACTGCTTGTCGTTCCTGAGGATGTCCCTCTGCCCTTCCCAGTTGCACCAGGATGTTGCCAGATGCAACCAGCACAACACTGCTAGGGGCAGACTGGCCTGGGTAGGGATGGACAAAAGGGTGACCCACCTGGGATGCAGGAACATCCTCCATGCCCTCTGACCATGTCTCTTTTCTCCTCCAGACCCGGCCCTGAGCCCTGCGCAGGCACCATTCCCCCTTTCTCCTACTGGCACCCTCTTTTACCACAACAGCACTTACCGCATCCTGCAGAAACCCCTCAGGTGGCACGAGGCGCTGCTGCTTTGCGAGACCCTCAATGCCACCCTGGCCACCATCTCCAACCCTTACAGCCAGGCCTTCCTCACACAGGCCGTCAGCAGCCTGCAGGCTCCGCTCTGGATTGGGTTGGCCAATGATGAGGTGAGGGAAGGGGGCAGGCACCTGGGGCACGGGTCCCCAGAGGGATCACAGCAGCCTCCCAGCACCTCCTCCCTGTGGTGTTCCAGGGAGGCCGGAGCTACTCATGGCTGACGGAGGAGAATCTCATCTACACCAACTGGCAGGACGGGGAGCCTCAACAGATCACTGGCTGCTCCTACATGGACACGGACGGGAGCTGGCGCACAGCTGGCTGTGACACCAGGCTGCAGGGGGGCATCTGTCAGTTCCAAACAGGTGCTGGCCAGCGGCCTGGGGTAGTCTGGGTGGGGTGTGACCAAGGGATGGAGACGGCATCCCACCAGGGACCTTCTGGAACATGTCCTTGTGGGTCTTGTGCTCTGGGACCCCAACATCCTGTGCCCCACCACACCTTTAATATACCATGTGCTTCCCAGGTCACCCCCGCACGCACAAGTGGACCTACAGTGGCAGCTGTCCCAAATCGCTGGAGGACTCGTCCTGGATCCCCTTCCGGGATCACTGCTACACCTTCCACATGGAGATCACTCTTGGGCAGAAGGATGCCATGAAGAGGTGCCAGAAAGGTATGAGGGAGCTGGGGTGGTAAAGGAGGGTGATGCTTCCTTGGAAATGGAAAAGAGTGGGATCCCCAGGATGTTTGTGGGTGCAGCAGAGCCCCCTTGTCCCTGTGCCCCTGTCCAGTCTTGGTCAGCCATCATCTCCTTGCTGTTCCATGTTAGGGTTCCCCAGTCATCACGTGGTTCATGGGTGGGTCCTGAACTTTGTCCTGTTGGGCACTGCTGCTCCCTAACTCAATCCTCTCAGTTCTGGGCTTCTCCGTGACAGTCTTCCCTCTGCAGTTGGCGGCACAGTGTTGTCCATCCAGGATGAAATGGAGAATGTCTTTGTGTGGGAGCATCTCCAGGCGTATGAGGGCCTTTCCAAGGGGGCCTGGCTGGGCATGACCTTCAACCCCAAAGGTACAAAGGAAGGAATGAGGTTTGAGATATTCCCTCAGGCACCTCCATGAACTCCCACCAAGTCTGTGGTGAGCAGAGGAAGCCCTTGGTGGTGGCACCAGTGAGGAGGGCTCATACCATAGTGTGACCAGGCACACTAGAGTCTCAGGCTGTGCTGGACATACTGCGTGTGCCCTCCTCTGGTTCGGTGGGATAGGAAACCCAAAGTCTTCTTCAAGGCACTGGAGCCTGCAGATTCAGGAAGGTGCGCTGTAGCCCCTGGTCCTCCTCATCACACCACCTCACCATAGAATCACAGAATCATGGGATGGTTTGGGTTGGAAGAGACCTTAAGGCCAATCCAGTCTCACCCCCTGCCATGGACAGGCCCACCTTCTACTTGACCAGGCTTCCCAGAGCCCTGTCACACTTCCTTGTACTTTCTGAACTGGAGCAAAGGTGAGGTGTCCTCTTCAGCTTCCTTAAGCCTAATTTTCCCATTTTCCAGGTGGCACCTTGGTTTGGCATGACAACAGTGCTGTGAACTACTCCAACTGGGGCCAGCATGACACGGGGCCCAGCATGCTTAGCCAGAACAGCTGCTACTGGATCCAGAGCAGCAACGGCGTGTGGCGTCTAGGCTCCTGCACAAACGTAACCATGGGGGTCATTTGCAAGATCCCCCGAGGTAGGGCCCCCTCTGCTGCTTGAGGCTTCTGGGCTGATGTAGGGTGAGCTGGGGGTCTGGGCAGGATGGTGCACAGCAGAACTGTCACAGTGGCAGCACCAGCCACATGTTTTCAGTAATTCCAGTGCAGGGGCTTGTATGGGTTGGTGTTGGGGTTTACAGGTCTCCATTGGGCTCAGTGAGGGGCTGCGCCCAATGTGTCTCATTGGCTGTGTCAGCTCCTTGGGGCGGGATGAGGCCGGTGGGACAGTGGTAGAGCAGAGCCAGAAGACCAGCCCAGCTATTCATCCCCTGTTGCCCGTGTGGTGCAGCACTGGGAGCAGTGCAGAGTGTGGGTCCAGAGTTGCTGGTTGTGGGAAGATGGGAGGGTGTCTTGGCTATGCACTCACCTGTCTATGTTGCCATTGCAGTGGAGGAGAGCAGCTTTTCCAGGGCAGGTGAGTAGCACCATCAGCCTGGGCATAGTACTGGGACTGGAAACGAGGACTGGGAGCCTGTGCCACAGCCCGACTTATGTAAATAATGAAAGGAATGGGGTTTACGGGTGGGGAATGCCATTCCCAAGTGACTTTGGCCTTGACTTAGGACTTCTCAGCAGCAGGAGCCATCATTTCATGAAGGTGTGTGTCTGCCCAGCTGCTTGCCAGACTCTCCTTCCAGTGCCCACACTGCCTGGTCAGTCAGGGGGATGGCCAGCATGTTTGCTGGTAGGATCCCAAAGATCCATCCCAGGCACCTGCTAAATGTTCATACACACCACAAAAGACCCAGGGAGTCTGCCCAGCCCCAGGAGGTCTGCCCAGAGCAAGATGTCCACAAAACACCAAAGCAGATTGGCAGAGTCACAGAATATGCTGAGCTGGAAGGGACCCACCAGGATCAAGGATCATTGAGTCCAGCTCTTTAAGTGAATGACCCATACGGAAATCAAATCCACAACCTTGGAGTTATTAGCATCATGCTTAACCAACTGAGCTAATCTCATTCCAGTCCTGTCCTGCTCTCCAGGGCAGTGGTCAGCCCCAAGACTGCCAGAGCTCAGGAAGTGTTTGGTCAGCACTCTCAGGCACAGGGCTGGATTCTTGGGGTGTCCTGTGCAGGTCCAGGAGTTGCACTTGGTGACCTTTGTGGGTTCCTTCCAACTCGGGACAATCTATGATTAAATCACCCTGCCCAGAAACACGGGTTTAGCTGGAGCCCCACCAGCCTCAGCCTCTCCTGCAGGCTGAGCAGGGAACAGGAGCCATCTGTCTGCCTCTCAACAGCCTTTTCCTCCCTGCAGCTCTGCCAGAGAACACAACAACCATCGCAGTGGTTGTGCTGTCGACACTGGCACTGTGCACCGTGCTGGGGGTCGTCATCTTCCTGTACAAGCGCCGACAGGGCGCAGAGCAGGGCGCCTTCGAGAGCGCTCGCTACAGCCGCACCACCTCCAACCCCAGTGAATCTGCTGAGAAGAACATCCTGGTGTCAGACATGGAGATGAACGAGCAGCAGGACTAATGGCAGAGGGGATGCTGGGGATGGGGATCTGGGGAGGGGGGAGGATGGAGAGCATCATGCATGCTATCCCCATGGTGCACGGGGCAGGGGTGGCAGCAGGACTGGTGTGGCAGGGCAGGGAGAGGGGCTGGGATCAGGGTTGCGGTCCAGCCAGGTGGGCAAGAGGGAGCCAGGGTCCCTCCTGCCCGGCATGTCACTGCCATCACCTCTGGGCTTGTCCCCAGCTGCTGGGATTTTGCCTGCAGCAGCTGTGGTGGCAGTTTCAGAGATAAAAAGTTTTGAGAGAAGTTGCTGCACAAGTTTGAGAGCTTTCCAGTGGCATGAATGGGCTCCAAGACACCTTTGCCTTGGGAGAAGGCAAGCACAGGGATTCAGGGCCCTGCAGCAGGCTCTTCCCCCACGAACCGAGCTGGTGTCCACGAAGACATCCTCCCAGGCAAGAGGTGTCTAAAGCCGATCTACCTCCCCTCTGTGTGCAGCGGCAAGGGCCCTGCCAGCTCCCAGCCCCACCACTGTGCCGCTCCTTCCCTCTCTTCGGCTTCATCCCCGCCTCCAGCAGAAAGCAGACACACTGTTGCGGGGATCCTAGCATGGAGCCCCGCAGGATCAACGATGGAATCCTCTCCTCCCTGGCACATTCCTAGGGCTGTGTACAGCCCCAGGGGCGCTGTGGCAGCTTCCCTGTTCTGTAAGCCAGAGCTTGTCCCATTTTCTTTGATGTGTGTGTCCCCCAAATAACTGCACGGGAGAGCACACCAGCAAAATGCTGGCCCAGCCCCTCTGGTTGAGCGCCCTCAGCACCCCGGAGCCCACAGTAGGAGTTGGGTGCTGGGGCAGGAGATGCTGCCAGAGATCTGGGACCATCCTCTGTGCCTTGTCAGGCAGGGATGGCCTGGGGCTGGGGTCACTTGCCGCTGGTGCCTTGTTGGGCCCAGAATGCTGAGGATCAGTGCTCTAGAGTGGGGAGGATTTGGGAAGTTTTGGTGGTTATTTTGAAGTTGGTGGTTTGTTGGTTTTCTAAGGAAATTATGGTAGCTTTTGTTGCTATACTGTACTGAGTGCGTGCTGAATATATACATTTTTTCACACAGCTGACTGGGGTGTGTGTGGTCGCCTGTTTCCATGTAGGGTGTAGCAGAGGAGGAGGTGGAGGAGGAAGGCAGTGTGTGGCTTCCTGCCTGGCTTTTGAGCTGTGCAGGGAGGAGTGGGGGTGCCCAGGGCTGAGCCATCCTCCATCAGCTGCATGCAGCAGCATCCTGGGATGAAGGATGCCTGGAGACAGCGAGAGTTGTTAGGTCCTCAACGACAGTTCCCTGCTAGGAATGGGATCCAAAGAGCCCCTTGGACCTCTGAAGTGGGGTGACACAGTCCTACAAAAGATGTTGCCTTTAGCCCTCTGCCTCTGAGGCTCGAGTTGGGGTTGGTTTTGCTGTAAGAACGGGAACAAGAAAATTTTTCTAAGTCTCTTTTTTGACACCCGTGTGCATTTTAAAATCTGTTGATGAACACTTAAGCTGGACATTAAGTGTTAAAAAAATTGTTGGGGGGTGGAATGGGGGAACCGGGTACTGCTTAGTTTTTGTTTAATTTTTGGCAACCTACGAAAGCTGCCATGAAATTTCAGGGTGAGGAAGAATCTGGAGCACATAGATCTGCCCCAGCTCCATTTCTCTCTCTCAGCTTTCTCTGCCTTTATTTCCTGAGTCCTTTCTAGTTTGGAGCAGTTGGTTCTGTCCTTGAGCCCATGCCTTCCTGATGTGGGAGCTAGAGCCTGAAAAGCCAAGCATGAAACCCTTCTCATCCCCAGCATCTGGAATTCTTGCTGCAGGGGTGCTTGGAATAGCATCCTGAGCTGGAAGCTGTGCTGCTGGTGGGGTGGAGGTCTAGGATTAACTCCTGGATGGTCAGATATTAGGAAGTCCTAAAAAATAAAGATTGAGGTTAGGATTGATGGGCAGGTGCGAGGGCAGAGCAGTGCTGAGGGTGCAGCTGGGCAGTCGGGGCTCCTTTGAAGTGATGAGACCCTGTGCAGGGGGGGAGCAGGGTAGCACAGGGCATTAATGGTGGGATGGTGGGGAGTGATAGGTGCTGGAGGAAATTCTGTACCATGGAGAGGCTGGGAAGGAGGTCCCATAGCCATGCAGGAGTTGTTAGACTTGGCTCTCACCCAGTCCAACCTGGAAGACCTTGTTTAAGAGAATTTTCTTTTTTCCTTTCTTCTGGATTACTTTGTAGTTTTTCCTTCTCCTTTGCTTTTGAGAAAATAAATCTGTGCACTCTAGGAGAAATGTTGTCTGAGAAGAGTTTTGTGAGCTGTCAGCAGTGATCAGGATTACAGGGAAACACATATATGGTTACATGGTATCATCTATCACCATTAGATAATGTGAAGAATTGCTTAACAGGACCCTGTCAAATATATAGATATATATATTTATATATATATACATACACACACACTTATATATATATATATGCTTTTTTTTACTCTCTGTGGTTTGTAAGTTCCTTTTAGAAACTTGGAAATAAAATTTCCTTACCCACTTATTTTATTTTTTTCCCCTTCCTTTTATTTGGGAAAAGCAAAACTTGTCTTTCCTTGTGTCCCCAACAAGTAATGACTGTAAAGCTGAAATGACCCTTTCCTGCCTGCAGCAGAGGAGGTTCCAAGGTGCCCAGGTGAGGGGGATGTTGAATTGATTCCTTGTGTGTTTTGGTTGCATGTCCCATGGATATGGTGTCTCTGTTCCACTGGTTGTTTGGAAGTGTTGGCTGGAGTGCTCCCACGCATCAGGCTTCCCTTGCTTGCACTGGTCTCTGGGTGCTGTTTCTTCACCTCCCTCTTCTTTGGGGCTTCCCTGTCCTGGGGCTGTGCACACCCAGCACTCCTTTCCCTGGGGTCAGAACCAGCACTTCCCCGCTTGCCCACTGTGCCCAGGAGAGAGGCGATTTCATAATCACAGAATCACTTAATCATGAATTTTTTAGGTTGGGAAAGTCCTCTAAGCTCATCGAGTTCAACCGTTCCCCCAGCACTGTCAACTACCACTAACCCATGCTCCTACTTGCCTCATCCACACAGCTTTTAAATTTCAATGAGGTTTTGTTTGGGTTTACTGGGCCCATTTGATTTTGTCTTTGATTGGGTGAAGAGCACAGGGCAGGCACCTGGAGCAGAAACTCTCAGGATGCTTTGAAGGAAGAAATTCTTTTTCTCTTCTGGTTTTCACCCAAGAGGTGAGAGGATCTCAGGGAGTGCTGCTCTGTTTAATTGTAAACAGCAGTAGAAATAACGCGGAGGGACACTGCACTGCAGCAGGGGAAAGGGAACTGGACTCATCTTCCTTCTGGAGTTAAACCTTCTCAGGGTGATCTGACCTGAAGTCAGGTATGTGTTTTCTCTTCAAACGAATCTCAGCAAAGCTTGTACTACTGGTGTGAAACAGTGAAGATCAGAATGTGGTTTATTTATTTATATTTTAATGCAAAAGAAATGTGGCCTTTGGGGAAAAGCACAGTTTCTAGTAACCAGAGGCTCTTTCTCACAGGCCTGAAGAATGTCTGCCTTTTATCAACTCTTTGAAATTTGAACTGAGCATGCTCATTTTAAAAGACGCTTTAGAAAATTCCATGAGGTCTGGTTCAGAATGGATTCATCTGGAGAAGGATACAAAATAGCCTCATTATTTCAATCCCCTTTAATTTCCCTGCTGAATACCAAGGTATCAGATAGAGGGAAGGCAGCACCTCCAAAGCAGGCAACTAGCACATTCTAAATTAGTCTCCGGCAGGTGAGCTGCCTGTTAGCTCACAGATCAGCCCTGGATCATAGGCTAGTGTAGGGGTGTGGAAGAGAAATGTCCCTTTTATTTTCAGAAGCAGTTTATAGCATATGCAAGGGCAGCACACCACACCCAGACCCCAGGCTGGGCTTCATCTGATAAATCTGAGTCAGCCCAGGGTGTTGGCACAGCCTGAGACTCCCGTTGTGTCAGTTCTGGTGCACTCACTGGGTGTTGGCAGACCTAAATTGGGTCAGGTGAACAGTGACCTAAAGTTCCCTATTTTGAATAAAAAGAGGAGACTAGGGCAGCTTGGTGAGCTGCAGTGTCTACATAGCACCTGATGACATGTGCACAGAATCCTGCCCTCAAAGGCTAAATCCCTCAATTTGATAGGTAAAAACAGGCCTAAGCTGCTTATGCCCTACTCATCATTTGCACGGAATGCTTGTAGCCATGCACTGAGATGGCCCCAATATCCACAGTGTGTGGGAAGCACTCTAGTATATTTGGGAGTCCTAGAGCATAGGCAGTGCAGAATTCATGCTCAGCTCTACTTAAGGCATGTGGTGGGCTTGTCTACAAGCTGTAGCTAGCAGAGTGCAGAGAGGGTGAGGAGCCTGCTCAGCTGAGCTGCTCTCTGCCACTCAGATCCAGCACAGTGCTGCTTGCGAAGGCCACAGTTCTGTGTTACATGTTCAGGAACATGAATGTGCTGAGGGGTTGCAGCACAACAGAGGCCAGGGTTTTCCAGAGACATGGATGTGTCTGGGCTGTGACCAGTGGCCACTGCCTTTTTGAATTAAATTGCTCTTGGCAGCTGTTTTCATTTCACTCTGTGGTAAAAACCGCTGCTCTAAAAACAACCAGTTTGTGCAAAACTAGTCACCACAAGACCTTTCTTTCCTTATTCCCAGAAGCCAGACATAAGCCTGACTCAGAAGGTATTAATCTGTGTGGGATAAAGTAGGAATCCAATGTTCTGTGAATGCGCTGTCTGCTTAGTAAGTGATTTTTTTCAGGAATAATCAAATATGCTGGGTGCTCCTCACTTGGGATGATTACCAGTTCATGCTTAATTGTTACCTTCTAATTCACTCAGTACTCAGTTTGTAAGGTCCAATGTGAACACCAGTGAGCACAGTTCCACATATGGATCAGGTTTCCAGTGATGGACAATAACCAGTATGGACTTAACCAGCAGCATAGGGGATAATAAGTCC